ATTCCAAGTAGTACTGATATATATGTTTTATTATTGTTTTTTTTTTACCATGTTACTTGAATACTTTTCCCATTGAATGCAGCTGAATCAAGAATGTTTATGGGGGATTAGAAAAGTATGGCTTTTACTATTTTAAATACAAGTAATCTCATAATTATTTTGTAGAACTAATAAATAGTTCAGTAAGAATGAACACATGGAATTGATGTTAATACCATTGAAATTCTGCAGCAGTGATGATATCTCTGATCATTATCTAGGCGTGTGTATACTCCATATAGCTAAAGCTGCAAACTCAACTGTTACGAAGAACCATCACTTCTAAAGACTGCTTTGTAAATAATCTTCCTGACTTGTCTCAATTCCTCAGGAAATCCATTAGCCATTAGCATTAAGAAAAACTTGATGTTGTAACAGAAACTATGGACTCTCTCTTTTCTAGCCCTTTTTGATATGGTTGCTCCTTTACACTTAAAGAAGATTAAGGAAAAGAGTGCAACACAAGCACACTTGCGAGCAGCCTGGAAAATGGAGCACAGCTGGAAGAAAACAAAACTAGAGGAATTTCATATTGCATGGAGGGAAAGTACTTCTACTTATAGAAAAGCTCTAAATACTGCTAGATCTGCTTACTTTTCATCTCTTTTAGAAGAAAACAAACACAACCCCAGGCATTTATTAAAAAGAGTGGCTAAATTAACAAAAAATAAAGCATCAACAGGTGCAGACATTTCCAGCTGAGCAGTAATGACTTTATGAACTTCTTTAATTCCAAGATCGATACTATTAGAGATAAAATTTTAACCATGCAGCCATCAGCTAGAGTATTGCATGAGACAGTGCACTATACATCCCCTGAGGAACAATTCCACTCGTTCTCTGCTATAGGAGAGGAAGAATTGTATAAACTTGTCAAATCATCAAAACCATCATGTCCATCAAAACCAAGATCCTCTTCTGAATATTATTAATTTGTCAATGTCATTAGGATATGTCCCAAAATCCTTCAAACTGGCTGTTATAAAGCCTAATTAAAAATCCTTGAAAATTACAGACCAATCTCAAATCTTCTTTTTCTGTCATGTCTATTTTTAATCTTAATTTTATCATTTTGATGTAAAGCACTTTGTGACACTTGTTCTTGAAAGTGCTATAGAAATAAATATTACTTACTAAAATACTAAAAAAAGTCAGTATCCTCTCAGCTATGTTCCTTCCTAGAGAGAAATGGTATCTGTGAGGATTTCCAGTCAGGATTTAGACTGTATCATAGTACTGAGACTGCTCTCATCAGAGTTACGAATGACCTGCTCTTATCATTTGATCGTGGTTGTATTTCTCTATTAGTGCTACTGGATCTTAGCGCTGCGTTTGACACTATCAACCACAACATTCTTTTGAGTAGACTACAAAATTATGTTGGCATTAGTGGAATTGCATGGGCATGGTTCAAATCTTACTTATCTGACCGTCATCAATTCATAGCAGAGAATGACGAGATATCATCGATCACAAGTACAGTATGGAGTACCACAAGGCTCAGTACTATGACCGCTGCTTTTCACACTTTACATGTTACCCTTGGGAGATACCATCAGGAAACATGGTGTTAGCTTTCACTGTTATGCTGATGATACTGGGCTCTATATTTGTTCGCAGCCCGACTAAACATACCAATTTGCAAAACTAACGGAATGCATAGTTGATGACTAGTAATTTCCTACTGCTAAATTCTGAAAAAAATTTATGAATTATTGGACCAAAAACCTCTGCATGTAAACACTTGATGGCTGCTCTGTCAATTCTTCTTCATCAGTTAGGAACCTAGGTGTGCTATTTGATAACAATCTTTCCTTTGAAAACCATGTTTCTAGCATTTGAAAACCATTTTTCCATCTTAAAATATATCTAAATTACGAGCTATGCTCTTAATGTCAAATGCAGAAACATTAATTCATGCGTTCATGACCTCAAGGTTAGATTATTGAAATGCTTTATTGGGTGGTTGCTCTGCATGCTTAACACTTCCCATAACACCCAATGTACTTGCTACATCGTAAGAAGAATAGCATCTACGCTAATATTAATTTGTTTCATTCTTATACCTAGGTCACCGTAGCCACCCAGATCCAGTCTGTATCCAGACCAGATGGTGGATCGCTAATATTAATTTGTTTCATTGTTATACCTAGGTCAGCGTAGCGACCCAGATCCAGTCTGTATCCAGGCCAGATGGTGGATCAACACCTAGAGACGACCTCTACAACCCTGAATGTCAGCAGAGACTATGTCAACTAGATGAGCCCCAGAGACAGATACCGTGCGAAGACCTCGTCAACTAAACGGCCATCGGGACAAGACAATGGGAACCAGACAAGTCCCAAGCACAATCTGACCTGTGTTGCAACA